GTGCAGGGTGAACGGGCCGAAATTCAAAATTCAAGTTAAAACGGCAAAACAATAGAAACAATCTGTGCAACCAGAATATGTTTTGTGGTTTATTCTCCGCCAGCTAATTGCCTTGTGGAGGCCACATTAACAAGGTCAGCAGAGACTTGTTTCAGCTTCTAAGGGAGCGTCATAACCCGCTCTACAGACCGAGTAAGGTGAGTTTGGGAAGAACAAAGATATGTTAGAGTGAAGGGCAGAAGTAGTTGGGTTAGAAAGATAGCATAGAGATAGCGAACAGAATTGCATACGATGTTAGAAGGTGCAATAGTGCTGTTATCCTATCTGACAAAGAATTGGAGAGTTCACTTAATATAAACTCTTCCTCGACTTTCTTGTCGTCCATACTATGTATTTCTGGTATTGTGGTTTAACCTCCTCCGGCTAATTGCCATATAGAGGTCACTTTACCAGGGTCCGCAAAGACAAGTTGAGCTCCTGAAAGAGCGTCATACCCGCTCTACGGACCGAGAGTAAGGTGAGTTTGGAAAGAACGAAGATATGTTAGAGTGAAAGATAGAAGTAGTCGAGTTAGAAAGGTAGCATAGAGTAAGCGGACAGGATTACACATGATGTTAGAGGGTGCAATATGTACTGTTAGTTAGGTTACCTAACTAATGTACGCCGACAAAGTTGTGATTATTGTTCACATTACATGAGCTCTTCATCAACTTTCTTTGTCGTCCTGTTTTACAACATCGGCTGTTTTACAAAAATGGCAGTTTTTACTTAATAATTTTATTTCTGTCAAAGAAAATATCAAATCATTCGCCATCTTCTTGAAAACGTTTAAAATATTTATGTCTTTCCAAAGTTTCATTAATAATACATGTATAATCTTTATAAACATCTAACTGAAAACAAAATGTTTTACAGTAATCAATACGGGTTAAAAACCATTCTACTGACATTGCTATACTTTAGGGGTTTATTATTGGTTTGTCCAAACCTTTCAACACAGTAGACCATGAAATACTATTAAAAAAAACTAGAACACTATGGTGTTAAAAACCAAAGTTTACTTTGGTTTAAATCATACTTAACTAACAAGAAGCAATTCATACTGAAAGAATCAAAAATTTAAAAAAACACTTAATAACTTGTGGGGTACCTCAAGGTTCTATTTTAGGACCATTACTATTTTAAATTTATATAAATGACTTATATTTATCATCGAAAAAGTTAAATACTATTTTGTTTGCAGATGACTCTAATTTATTTTATTCTCGCAAAGATATTAATAATCTTTTTAAAATATTTAATGAAGAACTGGATAAGATAAACTGGATAAGATAAACGGTTACTAATAAACGTTGTTTATTAGTAACCGACTTTCATTAAATGTAGAGAAAACTAAATTTATCTTATTCCATAAACTTAGTAAAGCCAATAATATTCCTGTTAAATTATCTAATATTTTAATCAATAATATAATAATTAAAAGGGAATCGACAACAAACTTCCTAGGAGTGATTATAGATGTAGAATTGTCATGGAAATTTCATATTAAATATATTGAAAGTAAGATATCAAAAAGTATTTCCTTGTTATATAAAACAAAACATTTTCTTAATAATGCATCATTAAAAAAATTATATTTTTTGTTTATACAATGTTATCTTTCTTACCGTAACATTGCCTAGAGTAGTACAAATCACACAAAACTATAAAAAATTTATAGTAAACAAAAACATGCTTTCAGGATACTATTTGGGGCAAGCAGAAATGCATATTGCGAGCCTCTCTTGCGTAAACTTGGAGCTTTAAAAATTTATAAACTTAATATTCATCAAGTGTTGCTATTAATGTTTAAAGCAAAGGTTTATCGTCAGTAACATTTCAATCTTACTTTCTCATAAATATCCTACTAAATTTTCAGAAAATAACTTTGTTATTGCGATAACCCATCTTAAAATAAGTTCTTACTAAATTCAATATCGTGGACCTTTTGTTTGGAAAAATTTTCTTCGCATTTTTAATAACAAACTAAAATTTGTCTTAAACTGTACAATGGAAAGTTTTAAGGCTGATTCAAAACAGCATTTAATAAATATGGGCTTTGATATATTAGATTTCAGATATTTTGAAAATAATTTGTTTGAACCAATTTATTTATAATAAAACAAAACGCAATTTTTGTGGATTGATAACTTCTTTGTTATCTATTTTGTGTTTCATTTTATTACTTTAATTATTCCGTTAAAATATTTCTATTTTCCATTTTGAAAGTTTTTTTGAAAGTTTTTTTGTGTATATACTATTTTATTGGTTATTTCGCATGTAAATATTTAAAACGTTTACAAAACACCAATGTAACGGAGGCTCGTTGATAAGATAATTTGTCTTCTTCTTGCTCCTGCCTGGTTTTTATTTAATTTTAATTTTTTTTTGTTATTTTAACTAACGGCAAATATATTTATGCAAAAAAAAAAAAAAAAAAAATGCTCTCGACAAAAACTTGAACAAAACAGAAGGGTCTTTTTTTTTCATCTTCGGTTAGACTTAGTGATTCATAAATGTTTTGAGTTTCTGAAGAAAACGTATACCTTAACATAGCAGCTTGATATGCAAGTGGTTTTTTCTCTAAATCTGACAACAAAATGTAATCATGCCATTTCTCATTCCAAGAGCAAAATGCAGCTTACCTATCTACAACTAAATTTAACATTGGAGGAGAAACATCAACCTTACCACTTTCTGTCATTTTTTTATAATAAGATTTTCAAGATTAATCAAATACTATAAAACTTTATTTTCGCACGTTTATTTTCATACTTGTAGCGCCATTTTGTGTTAATAATATATTCTTTCCAAAAGACCTGCACCAATCAAGACGGGATGCATGTATATAAATATGACATAATGTTTCAAAAATATTAATTGCTTAAAATTTTAAAAATATTAATTGTATATAAAATAAATATTTTATATACAATTAATATTTTAATATATTTTATAAATCATAATTTATTAAATGGCAAAATTCGTGTTTTTTCCTGAACATGCATTGATATTGTAGATGAACCATAATACACGGGTATTTTCTTTTTTTACGAACTAATTCTTAATTTTTAAATAATATAGTCTTCTTTTTCTTCTTTATTTAGGTAGGCTACTTTCAGGAGCTAAAAAAAAATGTGTCAAATACCCGGTTAACCGACTATGTTCTTTAAAAAAATCGACTATATTCTACGAAAAGGTGGCCGTGGCATGATAGTTATAACTATTTTCAAGCGCTCTATAGAGCGCTTGCTTTAGAAGCATGAGCGGTAAGGAAAGAGGCGTGAACTCTCCAGTTAAATGCTTTTCCGCAATACTCTGTGACAAGACCGTTTGGTCTTCTTTGGGTACCTATAACAAACAAGCAAAAAAAAAACAATTTTAATTTGAAAATTGCTTTCTTGGGGAGGGGCTATGAAGTCTCCACACAAACCCGTAGAATCGTCTCTGACTAATGTATATTTATTAATATATGTTTTAAGTTTTATAGTTAACTTATGAAAAAAAAGTTTAAATGATGGTTACATAATTATAGTTTTATGGTTAACTCAAAATTTTTTTTTTTAATGTGACTAATATTCGTTTTATAATAAAATAACAGCTAAAACAAAGGATTTTCAAATATCTTATTTAAAAAAGGATTTAAGTAATCTGTTTGACACCATTTATGTTTTGATTTATAGTAGTTGATATTGCTGATGTTGCTAAAATATAATAAAAAAAAAACTTTAATTAGAGTTGAGATAAATAAAAAACTATAAAGAAAATTACGTTTTACAAAATTAATATCGGTATTTATTTATTATGAGACTTTTTGTTTTAGATTAATATTGCTGTGTTTAAAGTAGTTTAAAGAAGAAACTTTAAAGTAGAAAAACATAATTTTACAGAAAATTTTGTCTTTACGATTGTTACAAAGTTTAATAATTTTATATATAAACAATTTGACTTTTGATGTCAAATAAAAAGTTTATACAAAAAAATAAAATGAGGTAATTTTGATGGAACATTTGAGGTAAATTTTACTTTCAACTAATAACTTGATACTTTGACATCGGAATAACAATGTTTTTATGTACGTATATACTTGTAAAAAAGAAATCAAAAGATTCAAAAAGAAAGCAGTGGAAACCTGTTTTTTTGACGCAATTGTCTTATTTTTTAATTTTAGATAAGTTATTATATAAAAAAAGGGGTTTTGTCGTAAAAAACTTAGGTAGAAAGATAAATTTTGAGATATTTGCCAAAAACTGTTTAATATTTGGCCAATGTACAAAAAAAAATATGTTTGTTTTGACATTGAACCAATTATCCTATATATAAGGCTTCCTTGGTTTTTAAGCAGAAACAAAATCATATATATTTTTGACTATAAGCAGTATTATTATTACTTACTTATATATATATAAACTATTAAAATACTTTGAAAGATTAGAGAATTAATTCTTCCTTTTGAAGCTTTTGCTTATCAAGAAATAGGTTAAAATGAGAATTTTCAATAAACCGAGATATGAAAATTTCAAATATATATATATATATATATATATATATATATATATATATATATATATATATATATATATATATATATATATATATATATATATATATATATATATATATATATATATATATATATATATATATGTTTGCATATATTTACAAATATATATATATATATATATATATATATATATATATATATATATATATATATATATATATATATATGTATATATATATATATATATATATATATATATATATATATATATATATATATATATATTTATATATGTTTGTATATACATACAAATATATATATATATATATATATATATATATATATATATATATATATATATATATATATATATATATATATATATTTGTAAAGCTTTATGAGTGAACTTATGATTATTTGTAAATCTATATGTGTCGTCGTTTATTTTTAACATTTAACTATTTTTATGTAAAGCTTATTATGAAAAATATTTTTTGGTTGTATAAATATATTGCGTGGAATATTTGTACTGCAGTTAATACCGAAAAATACTATATAACAGATACCGATGACGTCAGTATTCTATCAAAGCAGTGGGCATTTTCAAAACTTAATTCATCTTACACTTGCGCTGGTGCCTGGCAATGGGTTGATAAAACACGTGAATGGAAGACTTGTCTGAAAGCATCAACTACAATGTTGCAAAACTGCATTTTGATTTCAACTACTTACAATGTAACTGGGACTAACACAGTTTTTATTGAAATTAATTTTTCAACCACGTTATGCCAATCCCTCAGAAGCCCATCATGTAACGAATACTTAACATTTTCCGCTTACATTGGAACTAATGTTTCAGAAGTTATACTTAATAACACGATACAATCTAACAATCTTACTGATGTATCAAATAAATTTAATACCTTTTATGATACTAAAGGTATAGAGAACATGAAGCTCGCATTTACCACTAGCGACTATTGCGGAATTTTAAAAAACGTTTCACTGTATGCTTATTGGTGTCCAAGCACCATTAAAGAATTAGCCTATTTCCCTAAAGTAGCTGCTCCATCCATCAAAAACTCTCCCCAAAAAGTTCAAGGGACATGTATTGAAAATAGCATTTCTAACGTCGCGCCGTATATTGAGTGTTATTTTAATGGAAGTTACAAAACAAATGTAGAATGCAAATGTAAAAAAGGATTTGAGTTCAAAGAAAACTCGTGTCAAGGTTAGATTTTAAATTTTAATTATTTATATTTTTATCTTCAGTATTTATGTGTATATATAAACTGCTCCAAATTTGTAAATTATTAAATAAAATTTCTTTTTTATCTGCTTTTTTTTTAAATTTTTTTTCAAAATTTTTTTTTTCTAAAAAAAATTTTTTTCTTTTTTCCGTACTTATAAATTTTTCTTTTTAATATAAGTTAAAATCAAAATTTTACGCCGATATTTACATCTCAAAAAGAAGGGTTAATCAATTAAATAAATATGAAAAGAAGTAGAAGAAAATATGAAAGAAGGGTTAACCAATTAAATAAATATGGGACACAAAGACCAAATAAGTATGGCGCTCAATACCCTTATCATAATATTTTTCAGCTGTATTATAACATAATTATTATAAATTTGTATACATTATTTATTCTAAGATATGAAATTAGTCAGCATGTTTATTTTCATGTGTAAAACAAATTTACGGAATTGATACCATGAAAAAACTATAGTGCAAGTAAGTATCCTAGTTTACAAACATTAAATTAAATACCTAAATCACGAAAGCTATGTTCATTTAAAATTGTAGTCAGTGAATTGATTTTTGCTAGAGCACCACTTTGATGTGTTGCATACGACGTCGATCTAACGTTGGATTTTGATGGTTTATGTAGGGTGACATTGACCAACGTTTTAAGTTGAAAAATGTAAGGTTATCCACTCTTTTCATTTCCAACGTATTTTCAAAGTATTTTTTGACATAACAACTAAATTTTAAAAGACATCGTTTAAGAGTTTAGTATATATAATATTTATTAAATTTATATATATATATATATATATATATATATATATATATATATATATATATATATATATATATATATATATATATATATACAAATTTTTTATTTGAATTGTCATCCTCGTCTTCTCACATATGTAATATATTTTTATATTAATATTAAACAAAATTATATTGTAAGTTATTTTAGCAATTTTTATTTAAAAAAAAAATTTTTTATTCAAAAAAAAAGTATTTAAAAAAGATTAAAAAAAAATGCGAACCCACAAGCAATCTTAGCCAATTTTAAAAATGAAAAGATGCATTCTACTAAAAAAACAAATTATTTTATAAAAAAAATTACAAACCTACAAAAAATTAAAGCCTATTTTAAAAATGAAATGATTTGTAAATGAATAAAGATTACTTTTGAAAACTAACCCGCAAGCAATATAGTAGCTAATTTCTTTATAAAAGGTTAGTTTTCTTGTGTTTTATAGATAACAAAACAAGTTGAAAACAAAGTCATACCAAATCTATGTGTGCAATCCTGTCCGCTTACTCTATGCTATCTTTCTAACTCGACTACTTCTATCTTTTACATTAACATATCTTCGTTCTTCCTAAACTCACTTTACTCTTGGACTGTAGAGCAAGATATGACGCTCCCTTGGGAGCCGAAACAAGTCTCTGCAGACCTTGGTAATGTGGCCTCCACGAGGCAATTAGCTGGCGGAGCATAAACCACGATACCATCAAAATGAACGACAAAGGAAAGACGACAAGAAAGTTGAGGAAGAGTTTAGATCAAGTAAACTCTCCAAGTCTTTGTCGGTTCGACTAACAGCGCAATTGCACCTTCTAACCTCGTGTGCAAATCTGTCTGCTTTCTCTATGCTATCTTTCTAACACGACTGCTTCTGCCTTTTCATGTGCATATATAAACCATTAAAAACAAGTCAATGCAATTGCATTGTTAACTCCTTGACGAATCTTTTTTTCTGTAACTTCTAATTTTGTTAAGAATGAAAACGTGGATCTATTATCAAAATACAAATGTAAACCACTAAATTTCCAACATTTAAACTTTAAATCCAACAGCACCTTTAAAAAACAAATTGTCAAACTCAACGAGGGAATAGACTTACAAATGAAATACATTCGAATACATTCACAAATGATTGCAAATACATTCACAAATGAAAAATTATTATACATACCTTTTTTTTTTTCTTTTCTCTATTTGACATAAAATAAAATATAGATTTTTGTTTTCATAATATAACTTTTAAATATATAGAGAATTTTTTTTTGTGAAATTATAACTTGTCATTATTATTGTGACGCAAAACAAAAAAAAAATCCGCAGGGAGCGGAGAGAATTTTCTTTTTGTGAGTTTAAAATATCATAGTTCATAGGCGAGATCCCGCCTAGGGATCTCGTCTAGGGAAAATAATTTTGCATATGAATGCAATAAAAAAATTTTATGAGTTTTAAAAAAGAAGTGAGATTTCAATAGTTTTTTATCCCGGTTAGGGCGATGATTTTTATCCAAATAAACAACCCTTTAGTCCAGGGAATTTAGTACCAACTTTTACGTACCCCGTCATAAAAAAGTGGCTTACGCCATGTTGTGAAGCAAAACAAAACAAATCCGTAGGCAGGGGTTAGGTTTTTTTCTTAAGTCTGAAATATGGTACTAGTTAATATATAAATAGTTAATATATATAACAGTTTCTTTCCTTTCCTAGCATTTTAGTTAGGAAGTCACTTTAATGTTAAACGACAAAACAAAATGTCAAAAGTTTTGCTTAAAGAAGGATTTATCAGTTTTTTGCACATGTTTAGATTAGATCATCAACTTTAAATTTTTGTAAAATATTTTCTTATTATACTATAATATAGTATAACATTATAAGCTTTGTTTAAAAACGTTAACGACAAGAATTAAGAAATCGTTTTGTTGAAAAAACTTTAATTATAGTTTATTGTTTACAAATCGAGTTTATTATTTACAAATCAGATATCCAACAACCAATTAAAGGTTTAGGCGGGATTGTTTTTTCTCCATATGATCAATCCCTAATGAACTGCATATGATCAGCCAATAAGGGGCTTATATTTGGAAACTTTATAAATATAATTACTCACGGAAAAAAGCATTCAGGAGCCGCTCTTGGTTACCAAACATTCAAAAAAGCGTATTGCGAGAATTTAGTGAATAAATAGTTTAATAACAATCTCTGCAAAATTGCTAATACACAACCACAAGCTACTCATGCTGCCTTTGTTAAAGTATATAGATTTAAATTCACATACTAATTACGCAAGGTTAAAGTCTTCAATGAATTTGTAACATCAGTTGAAAAATTATTATCAGAAAGTTTTTTACCTGTCTTGTTTGGTACTGAGTGTTCGATAATCAAGGAGAACAGGGAGTTATTGGCGCTAATTCCATTAGAAGGGGGGATTGGAATTTGTAATCTAATAACTGAAGCCAAGGAATGGCATACTTCCTTTAATTAAAATAACCAAGTTGCATGAAGAACCCATACTTGACCAGTTAGATTTCATGGTAATTTTGGTAAAACGGTTTGTAAAATAAATAAACAAACAAGGAAAATAAAAAAAAAGAAAAGAAAAGAGGAGGTTAAAATAATATGCAAGGCTTCCAGAAAAGCTTAAACTACTGGTCTAACAACCTGTGATAAAGGTGCCAGCAGTTGGTGAAACATTTTACCAATTAAAAAACTAATATGTTATAGATCTGAACAAGGAAGATTTTAAGGACGCACTTCAATTAAGATACAACGTGCCACTTGTTAATTTATCATACTACTGAGCTTGTAGAGAAAGATTTGACAAGTAACACGCAATTTCATGCAAAAAAAGGTAGCTTTATTTTTTCTGTACAAATTAACGGAGAAAGTTAAGAGACAACACTCTCCGTAAAATTTACGGTTTCCGTATTTCATTTTTTCCGTTCAAACAGTCAGTTACTTAACTCATCTTACAGAGTTTACGCGAAAATCAAAAATAAATGAATAGAATTTAAATGTTGTTTTAAAAATTTAATTCGACTATTAAGAAACTAGTCGTGAAACAATTAAAAATTATAATATAATTAGGGGTGTACCGGATGGGAAATTTTAAATTCCGTACAGAACCGGATTTGCCGGAATTGTTGAAAAAATTCCGGCCAGAACGAGAATTATATTTATGTAGCTAGATCTAAAGTCACGGCTATTTCAAAGGGCATTTTTGTCACTTACGCTCAGCTTGAAATTAAATTGAATAGAAGTTTTGCGCATATTTTCGTTTAACCTAAAATTTTTTATCTTTTATATCTTAAAATATATTCCTTCAATAGTCTTCATTATTTTTTTAATGACCAGTTAAACAACCAAACAATATTAATAAATAAATAATTTTGTTTTCAAGTGAAATAACTTTCATTATTTTAACAATCAATATTTTACTGTTGAAAAAAAATTTTTTTATAAAAAAGCTAAAAAATGAGGTATATACAAATGCATTTCGAGTGATAATTACAAAAGTTTTTGACATAATTTTTTATGTATTGTGTTTTAAAGGGTTTACAATATGTTTGCTGAAATCTGCTACTTAAATCGTTAAGAACATCACACAAAAATTTTTAAAATCCTATAACACTTCCCTATAACTTTTCAATAGCGTGACGCGCCGAATAGCGGATTCAAATACAAATTTATCAACAAGCTGCCTCGTATTATATAAAAAAGTTATATGTTTAGTTGCTCGTGTTTATAAGCGAAATTAGATTTTGTAAGTTTTTTTTTCAAGAAATTCTTAACGCTGTTTTTGTAATTTTACAATTCTAAACCTTTTTTTAACAGAAAACTTGTTTATTCAAACACTCTATTAATCCATAAAGAGTAAAGAAGGCAAATCGTAAATGATTACGCCTATTGTTTTTACTTAATATATAACTAAAAAAAACAAAACAAACAATTAATAAAACAACTTGCCTGTAATAAAATTTTGTTCTGTAGCATTTTTTTATCAATAAATTGTATCAAATGAACAATTTGTGAGAAAAATTTTTCTAATTTTTTGTTTGAGTATCTGCTATTTGTTTTTACCAACTCAGTAATGTGCCGGGAGCCGAGTGGGAAAGTGCCATCGTGCTCGAAGGCTTAGAGGGGCGCCAAAAAAAGCTAGAAGCAAAAACAAAAAGTTTTTTTTACTA